TTGTTCTAGGCGATCGAAAAGAGAAGACTTTTTGTCAAGACAGGAGTATAAAGTTGAGTCATCAGCAAAAAGAGCTACTTTAGATGAAAGTTTGTCAGGAAGATCGTTTATGTAGATATGAAATAAAACAGGGCCCAGGATGGAACCTTGGGGAACCCCAGAAGTTACTGGAAATAAAGAAGAGTGTTGGCCTTCAAGGATGACTTTAATAAACCGGTTAGAAAGAAATGATTTGATAATCTCAAAAACTTTCCCAGAAACACCATATGAAGCAAGCTTATGGAGAAGACCAGCATGCCAAACTTTGTCGAAAGCTTTAGATATGTCAAGAGCAATAGCCCTAGCCTCACCGCCTCCATCTAATGCACGATAAAATCTTTCAGTTACAGCAGTTAGCAAGTCGGCCGTAGAGCGAGAGGATCGAAAACCGTATTGATTGTCTGACAGCAGTTTATTTGACTCAAGATGAGATGTGAGGAGTTTGTTGATCAAAGACTCAAAGACCTTGCTAATAACAGAAAGAAGACTGATCGGACGATAATTGGAGGGGTCAGAATTTTCTCCAAAGTTTCTGAATATTGGAACCACAGATGCCATTTTCCAACAAGCAGGAAAACAAGACTCAGTCAAACACTTGTTAAATAGTTTAGAGAGAATTGAAGAAAGTTCTGGAGAACAATTCTGCAAGACTGTGACAGGAATGTTGTCTGGACCACAAGCTGTAGACGAGTTTAATTGAGATATGACTTTAGCAACAGGAGCCGGAGTGATTTGAATGTCTAACAATGGGTCAACCTGTTTGACTGGAATGGAAGGAAGAGAATGTCCATAAGATTCAAGAGTGGAATTAGAAGAAAAGTTCTTTGCAAACAGCTCTGCCTTATCCCTGGGAGAGGTAACAAGATCAGTCCCATGAATGAGAGATGGAATGTTAGATCTACCCTTGTTAACAATGCTGTTGAAGATTTTCCAAAAGTCTTTAGAGCCTAACTTATGCGATAAGATGCGAGATTTAGTGAACTGAGAATAATGGAGTTTAGCATCAGAAAGCACCTTTTTACATCGATTTCTTGCAATAATAAATAGCCGTTTGTTCTCAAGAGAGTTGTTCTTTTGAAAAAGATAAAAAAAATGAATACGATTGGATATAGCAGCCGCACAAGAAGGAGAAAACCATGGAGTAGAATGAGGCTTGACTTGAAACCGACGAGAAGGAATAAAAGCTTCCATTCCAGCCTGAATCCAGGAGGTTACGTAGGAGGCGCATTTGTCAGCTAAGAGAGAAAAAACATCAGCCCAAGGACCATCACGAAGAAAATCACGAAAGGAATCCCAGTCAGCTTTAGGGTAGTAGTAGGTGGTGCGATGATAAGGTGAGCCCAAAAAAGAAGTACGAGAAGAAAGATTTATAGTGATCATTGCGTGGTCAGAACCACCTAAGGGAGAAAAGGGAGAAACTGAACATAAGCTAGGGTCAGAGACAAGACATAAGTCAAGGAGTGAAGGTAAATGATTAGGGTTGTCAGGAAAATGAGTCACAAAGTTAACTATCTGAGTAAGAAATTGAGAAACGCAGAAGTTAAAGGCTTTAGTGCCAGCAGGATCAGTGGTGTTAGAGCCAAGCCATTCAGTGTGATTGTCATTAAAATCACTAACAACAACAATATTGGCAGAGGGATAAAGAGAGAGGGCATGGTCAATTTGATCAGAGATAACATCTAAAAGAGTGCAATCATGGGAAAAAGGAGAACGATAAAGAACAAAGAGAAAGGTCATAGAGTGAAGAGGTGCTAGGCGAAAGCACATAAAAGAATGGTCAAAGGATTCGAACCTGATTTCACGACAAATAGGGGAATTAATGCGTATGTATACCCCTAAACCTAGCATGTGACTATTGGAGTCTTTACGAATCAAAGGATAGTACCCATCAACACTGACATCTGAAGAAGGAATTGCAGAACTTAAATTTGTTTCACTAAGTGCAAGCAAGTCTGGTGAATTTTGCAGGAGGTAAGACTCAACTGATGGAAAGTTGCTTCGTAGACCGCGAATATTTGTAAAAGATATATTAAAATATTTAGGTGGTGGGGATGGTTTTTTAGGTTTTAAATTTTTGGTTACTTTGGTCATGATTTGGGTTTAATGAGAACTTGACTCATTCATAGATAGAGCACAGCCTCCTAATCAATGAGCTATGCAGTTGTCTCAGTCCTGTTAATTAACCCTAAGCCGTGACATAGGGCTCCTTATGTGGCCTTGACAATGCACACCAAAAGCATTAACAGGGACACCATCCATGCGCAACATGGCACTGTTAATACTCTGATATTTTGCAGCTGTTGATGGAATCAGCCTCTCTGAGAGCTACCACAGAGTTCGGAAAACCTTACTACCAGCCGGCCTCAGAACCATTAAGCTGAGTTTTAGAGCTGTACCCTCATATGGAGATAACAGATAGAGTTGCATAGCCATTATCAAGGAGGCATAAGCAAAATTCTAT